AAAAAAAAAAAAAAAAAAAAAAAAAAAAAAAAAATCTCCTAAGGAAACTCCAAAACACTATAAAATACTTTTTCCTCTCAAGTCCTCGGGTCCATTTCAAACATTGACAATTGTCTCAAAAATATCTTTTGTAATAATATCATCCCCAAGAGAGAAACACCATCTTCTGAGCTGACCTGTTCTGATGGGACATACCTGTAGACACTGGCCTATGGTGTTACTGAAATGAGTCAGCCCTACTGCTGTGCCCTGCCCTGCTCCAGCCCCTGTGATTTGCATGCTCCCGGAGCACAGCCCACTGTCCTGAAGATTTATTCATAGGCTGCTCAAACCTTGTGCAGGAGTCAGTCTCAGTCAGGACACAGCATAGACATGAGGGCCCCCACTCAGCTCCTGGGGCTCCTGCTGCTCTGGCTCCCAGGTAAGGAGAAAGAACACAAGGAATTTACACAACCAGTGTGGTCAGTGCTGCCTCGCTCTTCAGGGAAGTCCTCTTGTAACATGCTTAATTATGTGGATATTTGTCTTTGTGTTTCCAATCCCAGGTGCTAGATGTGACATCCAGATGACACAGTCTCCAGAATCCCTGTCTGCATCTGTAGGAGACTCAGTCACCATCACTTGCCAGGCCAGTCAGGATATTGGCAATGCATTAAGCTGGTATCAGCAGAAACCAGGAAAAGCTCCTAAGCTTCTAGTCTATGCAGCATCAAGTTTGTACACTGGGGTCTCCTCGAGGTTCAGTGGCAGTAGATCTGGGACAGATTTCACTCTCACAATCACCAGCCTGGAGGCTGAAGATATTGCAACTTATTATTGTCAACAGTATTATAATAACCCTCCCACAGTGTTACAAGTCATAACATAAACCGAACAGGGTAGGAGATGTGTGAGGCTGCCCCATCTGCTTCTTCTGGTTCCTTCATCTGCTGAGAGCATTTCTGAGAAGCAGGTGCACTTTGAAGGTCACTTTTAGGTTGTGATAGAAGGGACCAGGAAGGCTCTTCTGCAGTCTAATTCTCTTTCTCCTTCTCTGCTCCACACCACACACTTGAAAATGTCTCTCTTGATTTCATTAAGGACAGAGTTTATACACTGATAAGTCTGAGTTACAGCATCAGTTGGGATTCAAACAGCAGTAGAGAAGTCACTCTGGATACTCCAAGCAAGGATTGTTTTAATACAGGGAGTTAGAGTCTATACCACAATCTTACAGAGCATGAGGTGTGCAAGTAAGGAAAGTTGATCTTAGACACAGAGCATACTCTAGTGCTCCCCCAGCAGCCAGAGCACACCTGCCACAGAAGGTGTGGGCTCCTCAGTCCTGTCTGGGAAGCCCAGGCATGGGGGTGCTGATGCTCTCAGCTGCCTGCAGAACCTCACCACGTGACTCTCCAATCCTCACCTCTGTCCCTGTGTCTGGCTGCAGGTGCTGATGGAAAGAACTGAGTCCTCCTCTTTTGATTCTCTGATCTCATGGAGGGCACCTCACTGAGCAACTCTACAGAAAACCAAAGAAGGGAAAGTGGTTTTGAAAAATGTGCTTCCAGAAATTATGCAGTTGGGGAATCGACAGGTGACTTCCCAAAATGATCACTATCTCCTCAAATCTTAGAATTTTTTTTTTCAGTTAGGGGATTGAACTAAAATACACTCAGATGTGCTTCTAAGTATTATCAGCAAGTATGGGATCATAGCAACAAAAATTACTTAAGTCCTAAAGGACACAGAGCAATGAGGAACTTGCATGAAATATATAAAAAAATATTTGAAAAACAAATGGAAAGTCTTTCCTAATAAAAAAACACAAACAAAAAATTAAATGTGCATGTGACATTATTTTTCTTTAACATAGAAAACCCTGCTACTCAAACTCTGTCCTGAAGTCAGCAACATCATCAAGATCACTGTGAGCTTGTTACATGTCAACACAGCAGACCCAGCTAAGACCTATTGAAGGAGAATTTGCATTGGAACAGGATAGCAGGGGTTTTATCAAAGGTGTAAGAAGCTATGTTTTAGGGGATATTTACTTCAGCTAAAACATTTTTTGTTCTTTAAGAATTTTTTTCCTATTTTGACCATTTCAGAATTTTCTTAAAAGCTGCTTGTTGGGGGCCGGCCCGGTGGCGCACTGGATAGTGCACCGCTTGGGAAGCGTGGCGGCGCTCCCGCCCGAGGGTTCGGATCCCACATACAGACTGGTTCCCGCTCACTGGCTGAGCGAGGCGCGGGAGC